CACTCTATCATAACCAAACCAACACCCCTACAAGACCCGAACCAAAATAAGACCAGAATAAAAAATATAATAGGGTTTGGCTCTGGGTATATGTAACTTTGGGTAGACAAGATAGGACTCCAACTTGAACAGCCCAACCCAAACCCTACTTGACCCAACCTATGTTTTTGCATGAAGGGGCCTAGGTTTTCGAGGTGTATTCTGAACATGGGCCAGAAAACTCAGGCCTGACTTAAATTTGAGTAGGGCTTGGGTTGAGGCCTTGAGTACATTGATCCTGGGCTCAGGCCCGAGGTCATCCCAACCTGAGCCCACGTAAACAAACCCAATTAACCAGCCCAAGCCAAACTTAATCCAACCTGAACACAAGTCCAATCCAAGCTGTATCGGGTTTAGTTCAAGTTGGGTCTCGGTTGATAAAACTTGGACCTCACATGGGGTTGGGTAAAGCCCAAATGCAAGGTTTGCACCTTTAGGTTGGGCCTGGGTTGACCTTCAACCGACCCAACTTGCCCAAGATGCAGCGCTACAAGATTTTGCACTTCTTTTCTTTGCACCAGTTCAAATGATAATGCACCACAAAGAAACGAAATCAGATGGCTAGAAGTCTTCCAATCAAATCAATTTTTGGTTTAGCTGGTTAATCCTCTTTAGGATGGGACCCATTCAAGCAAAGAGTGAAGGGGCTGATGGCTAGTAGTCTTCTATGTTTGTTTGTAACGTTGAGCTTCGGATCTGCTGCAAAATATTTCAGACAAAAATCAAATAAAAAAGGGAAAATTCCCGATTGGCATCCTGTATTTTGGGTTTATTGTCACTTTGGTCCCCGAACTTTAAAATGCGATAATTTAGTATCCAAACTTTCAAAATATGACAATCCAGTACCTGCTGTTAATCAGCCATTAAGTGGCATTTGAAAAAGACACAAATGTTCTTCGAGTGTCATCTAATTTTCTTTATTAACCATTCAAACATTAACAAAAAATTAACAGTCTTAAATCCTTACCTCTTCTGTTCAAGAAAGTTGGGGTCATCAGAATGCCCACTCAAACATAACCCTAACTTTTTTGAATGAAAAATGCAAAGTTTTGGGACTGTTAATTTTTTATCAATGTTTAGATGGTTGATAAAGAAAATTAAATAACACTTGAAGGGCATTTGTGTCTTTTTCAAATGCCACTTAATGGCTGGTTAAGAGCTAGTTAATGGCAGGTATTGGATTGTCATGTTAAAGTTTGGATACTAAATTGTCGCATTTTAAAGTTCCGAGAGCAAAATGAAACTAGACCCAAAGTACAAGGAACTAATTGAGAATTTTCCCAATAAAAAACAACTGCACCCCCACAGATACATGAATCCTGTTTGTCATTCCATTTGATTATGTGTGCAAGAAGGTATTTATTGAAAGTGTAGAATGGGCTTTTTTACATGCATGCAGGGGCAGAGTTAAAATTTTTTTATGAAGAGGGCCAAAATCTAAATTGAATTGGGAGGTAGGGGGTATAAATATGAATGGGCTCATAGGGGCCCAACCATTGAGGTGGGGAGTGAGGAGAGGGGGGAAACTCAAAATTATCCTTTGCCCCTAATATAGATGGTGAGTAGGTTACGTTTTAAGCCTTATTCCCGAATGGTAGATTCGCCTGTAATTATGTACAAAGACCTGGCGTCAAAAAAAAGAAAAAAAATGTAAGGACCAGTTTGGTATCATTCCATAGGAATGTTTCTTGTGTTCTCGACATTCGTGCATAACAGAGTGATGCTTGGACATGTTTTATAAGGAGAGCTTAATTTTTGGGGACATCCTACCTCAGAGTTGTATAGCCCCTTTGTTATTATCTCGTTTTATCAAAATAATAATAATAATAACAACAACAAGAATAAGCTGTCAAGAGCTTTTTATGAGAGTGACAAAATCGTAACTCCAAAATCACACGCCCCATGGAACGAGCCCATATTTCCTAAGAGATGTGTGATTCTAATTCAGAGCGGATAGAGAGTGGATAGGAAAAAATAAGAGATGTGTGACTCTAATTCAGAGTGGGTAGAGAGTGGATAGAAAAAAATGAGTAAGAAATCCCGACTGCCATGGAACTACGTATTCCACAATGTTAGATTAAGCGCTTGTTCTATTCTGTGGTTGAAAAAAATGTAGTTCATCTTAGAACACATTACACTAGCACTGCATGGTGTGTTCCACAACCATAGTTTTAGAACACACCCTGCATTACGTAGGCTGTAGTGTGGCGTGTTTTAGGATGAAGCACAAGAAATGATATGTTGTTCATTATGGTGTGTTATGCTAATGTGTGATAATATAAATTGATATCAATACCATTGATCATGTATCAATACATATTTTCAATGTGTATGTTATATGAGTCACATTTTACAATTAATAAAAGAATTTTCAAAGTTAGTTTATACAACTAAAGTATCATAAAATCAATGTTTTAAAAACTGGCTAAAAGGCCAAATCATTTTTCCGGGTCACTAGTTCAATAATCCGAGTCGAATGGGTCAGATTGTGCCATGTCATCATTATATATATAATCATGTAATATATGTATTATTTTATATTTATTTATATTTTAATTCATTTTTAAATTTTTATTTGTAAAAATATTAGAATTTTAATTTAAGATCAAAAAAGGTTTTTTTCACAAAAATAATGGGGCAAGGTGCACTGGGATGCATAGGTCTCGAAAAGTTGCCCAAAATAAAAAAACCTAATCGAACATCAAAGCACAAAATTATAGCCTTTAAAAGTTTTTGCATACACATTTAGTGTGCAACTCGTGACCTGATCACCAGGTTGAACGGGTCAATGATCCAATAGCCTGGGTTGAACGATTTTTGACCAATTCCTGGGTTTTAGTAGAATTAGACCTAGAGTCATGGTGGGGTGATGGTTTGAACTAGGGCTATAAACGAATCAAATTCGGATCGAGTTCAACAAAATCCAAATATGATTCAATTATTGAAAACTTGCATCTGAATCCAATCCAAAACACAACCGGACTTGAAGACCTCAGATTCGAATTCAAACCCTAACGAACTTGGATAGATTTGAATTTAATCTGACTTCACTTTAATTTTTTTAAATACAAAAATAAGAAGTTAATTACTTTTCAACTTTTATATATAATAAATTAATGTATTATAATATACTGGATTTATTATATATACAGATTCATATAATAATATAATATATAAAAATATATTTTATGCTTTTAAATATAATTTTATAAGTTTTATATATTAAAATCAATAAATATTATAATATAATTGGATTCGGATTTTAATCGAATCAGATGGAGTCAAATCTAAATCCGATTTGATTATTAATCGGATGCAAATTGCAAAATTCAAGTCCGATTTGATTACATAAATACAACATTTGAACCCAAGCTAATCGGATCGGGCTATAGAGATTTTAGGTATCATTGACAAGCCTAATTCAAAATGGTTCAAATGGTTGGGCCAATGATAGGTTAAAAACATTGCATAATTAATTAAACATAATAAAAAATAATATAAGTATAATGCTATAAAAATAATTATTAAAAAATTATTAAGGAGAATAAAAATAATATATAATGAGTAAATCTAATATATAAAAATATTAATTAATTATTAATAGTTATAAAATTTTAATTTTAATACATTTAATAAAAAATGATCAAATAAAAAACTTTACAAAGGTAAACAAAAAGTAGAAAAAATAATAAGGGCGAGAATCAAAGAATCAAAAAAAAAAATAGAGGAGGGGTGTGACATTTTAGAATGATGTTTGTCCATGGGCCCGATCTGATATCCGATCCAATTATCTCGGATTTGGATAATGTATTTAATGTATTTATGTAATTAGATCGGATTCAGATTTGACTCCATCCGATTTGACTAAAATTTGAATCTGATAGTATTATAACATTTATTGATTTAATATAAAAATTTTATATAATTATATTTTTATATATTATATAAAAAATTAAAACAGAATCGAATTAAATTTGAATCCGTCCGAGTCCATTAGGATTCGAATTCAGATGAAAGCTTTCTTTAATCGGATCGGAATAGGATATCCGGTCACAGCTAGGGCTGCAAGTCGGGTCGGGTTGAGGCCAACCCTAGCCTAACCCTAAGGTCTAAACCCCAACCCTAACCCTAACCCAACCCAACCTTCAACCCGACTAACCCAACCCTAACCCTAAACTTAACTAAATTCCTTCAACCTACCAACCTTCTTCCCATCCCTTAAAACCTCATAGAATTTCTTGATTTTAGATCTTAACTCAGCTTTCACTACATATATTAATCCTATGTTTCATTAGTATTTGTTTGTTGACGTTTTTTTATTCTTTTTGTATAAAATTCAAAAAAAAAAAAGTGTTGGAAATGGTTATAGTTTATTATGATGGCTTACGATAGAACTTTCGTGGGTGGCAAACAACATAGAGGAGATGAAGGATAAATTTTTCAAAAAACATAACATTGTTATTAAGGTTTTAATCTTTCTCATTAGTATCAAGTGAAGTGATCATCTTAAAAGAAATACATGATACTATGTGGTAGGGGGTATACAAATATCATGCATCTAAACAAATCAATGTATGTTATATATTACATATAACGTATATTTATATATAACATGTACTATAAAGTCGGGTTTGGATTGAATTGGGTTGGCTAAGGGGTCAACCCTAATCCAACTTGAAGTAAAGTCGGGTTCATAAATTTCAACCCTAACTAAGGGGTCAACCCTAACCCAACCCGAAGCAAGTCGGCTTCATGAATTTCAACCCTAATCCTAACCCGAACATCAACCCGACCCAACACAACCCAACTTTTTTCGGGTTGGGTTCGGGCTAACCCGGCCCAAGTTGCAGCATTAATCACAGCCCTTCTTGAGTGCCGAACACCTCCTAAAAAATGAATACGTGTTTTTCTTTTACACGTGTGAAGAGAGGCATGATTGTCCTTTTCCCAGAGAAAAATAGATGTTGGGCACAAAAACCCTGGTCTTTCCGATCCTCCTCCTACCGCCGCATAGTCCACAGACGACTGACCAGGGAACGCCTCTACTCTACTCCGGCACTCCGTTTTCTTCCCCTTCCTCCTACCGACCCCCAAATTTAGCTTTGCGTCCTCCCATGATCACGAAGGTTCTCGGATTTTCGTCCATTTCCTTGCATTGAATTTGTTTTTGTGTTTTTTCCTTTTTCTTTTGAAGCATTTGTTTGTTTTTCATTTGACAAGGTTGCGATAAATTTTGTTATCTTTGATTTTCGAAAAAAAAGGTATTAATAAGAGATTAAAGAGGAACATCACTTCCAGAAATTGATGTGTATTGTGAGAAATGAAAGCATTCGTTTAGAGAAATTCAAAATAAAATCAAATGTAATAAAGACGATGTTAGGTTCATTCTTTTGTAGGGTTGGTTTAGGTATCTCTGACAGGTTTCATCGCAATGTTTTTCAATTAATTTGGTTGATTGCCTTCACAATCTCAACTGCCCAATGTGACATTTCAGCTAAAGTTTTGCATCTATCTCCTACGTTAGTGATCAACAGATTACATATATGAATTAATAGTTGTATTTTTGTTTATGCCCAGCATTTTTAATTCATTGATGTACAAGCACTCTTAACCTGGACTTGCGGATAGTTGCATAAATACTATACTTTGGATGGTTACAGCTCTCATTGAGGTTTATTGACACTGAACAGTTTCGGAGGTAAGCATGATTATTTTTTAATGATTTGTGATTTCTTTCCTTTTTGATTATTCTCCCAAATTTTTGGGTTATTTTATTAATTTTGTAAACCATGCAAAGACTTTGAAGGTATGTGGTCTTTTTTTTTGGGTTAAGCTTGAGGACTTGTAACAATCAATTTTTATGTGTATTGATCTAAAGGAAAAATCTTAAGAATTAGTAGGGCTATTCAAACATCGGTTCTATCTCTATAGAATAGAAATATGTTCCTCAGAAACAATTTGCCAAACAGGTCAGTTATTTTTCAGGAATAAGAAATAGGTTTCCTGTTCCAGAACAAGAATTTCCTTAGAAACAGAAATATGCAGGAACGATGCCAAAGGGGGCCTAAATATACTTTTAATTCTTTTATTGTATTTGTTATTAATGACTCTCAAGTGAACTCCACTCCTAGGTTTACTAAGCTTGGTAAAAAATCCGAGTTGGCAAGTATTGCTGCAATCCTGAAAGGACACTTTATGGTGTTTACCCAATTGACATCACTATCACTAAACTTGATGAAAAAACTAATTGCTTCAAGGTCTCTTAATTTGTGCTCATGTTCCTTTCTATTGGGAGACCAACAACCCATTGCCAACCTCTAAAAAATGTCATCCATGGAGAAATGGGCAAACATGTCCATGTTCTTCACCCAATGCACCATTTTGACTGCAATACTCTCGATAATATCTTCCTTACTACGATTTTTTTTTTTTTTTTTTTTTTTTCTGATTTCTACCTTACTACGTTTTTTCCCTTCAACTATTCTTGTATTTCTTTCTTCCCACACCATCCAAATAAATACTGCCCTTGTTCACTGCGGCATTATTTTTTTTTTTTGCTTCCATTTTACCCATGCTTTCATTCTGTTCTTGTTTTTCTTTCCCTTACTTTTTTTATACTGTATTCTATGGTGGGTTTCCTTCAGAGTCACCATCTAATCTGGAAGCTCTTCTGTCAGTCATGCTCCTGTGATCATCTTCTGCTTATGTTTTGATCAGTAATAGTAAGTTAGTAACTTTATTAAATAAAAAGTATTAAAGATGTACAAAGAAATGTTAGTAAGTCTTCCATAAATCCTCACGTCTTTGTATTTGCTTGCATACAAGGGCGGAGCTAGGGGGACCCAGGGGGGCTATGCCCCCCCCCCCTCCCCACCCTATAACCTGTATTACTAATTACTATTACCTATTATTTTGCAAAATAAAAGCATAACTAAACCAAGATTCAATCAAAGAACCCAGTACCCACTGCCTAGAACCACTTGAAATCAGTTTGAACACTGCCCAGAAGAAAAATCTGGAACTGTGGAACCAGAGACTTGCATAGGTTACAAGTTTGAACAACCAGATTTATTTATTTTTGTTCTTGTCCACTGTTCAAGTTTTTCTTGGAAGATTGAACACTGCCCAACAACCAATAGTGCCTAGAAGAATCAGATTCCAGAATGTCCAGCACTGACAAATTGTTGAATACTTGAATTTAATGAATTTGATTATTCGTTAATTTGCACAGTTGAAGTTGAGCTTATGATATTTTAAGGAGTTCGACTATGATGCCGGAAAGATATGATACTGAAAAAACTTATAACCAATCAACCGGGGTCATAAAAGTGGTAAGAAATCATGTGGGTTTTCCGCTATGGGGGCTTTGATTGGTTTCTATTATCATATATTTTCCCTTTTTAAATTCTTGAATTGGATACAAAGACTAGTAGTCTACACAAGTCAAGTGCATAGCAAGTAAATTGTAAAAGTTTTTTTTTTTTTTTTTACCTTGAATCTCTTCCATTTTTTAAGTTATTTTTACCATGTAACTGATTAATTAGAGGAGTCTAAGACTGATTTTGAATTTTTTTTTCTAATTTTTTATTGTTAGTTTGTCATTGTGTGCACATTGGAATTCCTCCATTCAACACGCTGGAAGATGGAATACCAAAAAAAATAAAAAGATTTTACATTACAGATTTGAGATACAACTTAATAAATTATTTGGATTTTTTATTTTATTTATTGGTGTATTTTTTTATTAGTTTTCCTCTATGAAGAACCTAAAGGTTAATGAATGAGAATGAAGAATCAATTTTGAAATACACAAGCATTAGCCCACTTGCCTGGGCTAATGGGACTTTTGCATAGGCACATGCCATGACCTGCCCAATGCATGCAAGCACTTGCATGACTGAACTTGCATCCCCTGCCCACTGCCTGGGCTTGCCTAGTGCCCAGCCCACCCACCTGCACTTGGCTACCTGCCTTGTGCCCTACCCAATCCACACCCACCCACCTGCCTAGCGCCCTAGCCCACCTGCCATGGCCTAGCCACCAGGCCCCCTTGTAATTAAAAATGCGAAAAACAAGGAAATCCAATTTAAAAAAAGAAAAATATATAAAAGATTAAAAACAATTGAAAAACAATAGAAAACCACTCAATAAATGTTTTTCTTCTTAATCAAGTAGTCAATGACAATAGGAAAACACTCAATCAAAACCGTAAAACCACTTAACAGTTTGATGAGTGAAACAATTTTATTATTTTCAATATATCATCTCGAAAACAACAGAACAGAAAATATCTAACGAAAATAAATGTGTAAACATAATTAAAAAAATAGAATTTAGTTACAAGATTCAAATTGGAACTATTGAACTAATAAGCAACAAAACCTCAACATCTTGAATTAGGAGCTAAGGAGATCTTGAAAGTACAAGAAAAAGATTTGCATATTAAATTTAAAAATTTGTAGAAAAGAATCTTGTATATTAACTTTAGAATTTTGGTATTTAGAATCATGTATTAGATTTTATTTTATTTGTTAGCATTTTTATTATGAAAATTAGGATCCATGTTTAAGTAAGCATTATTAGCTTTTGGCCCCCCTAAGAAAAAATCCTGGCTCCGACCCTGTTTGGATATGCATGTGTGCATGTATTGGGGGTCATAACATGATTAATTTAACTAGAAAGTAATAATTAAAGTTTGAAGGAGGTCTTACACTGTATGAGATGGTGATTCTCAGAGTACTGATGGAGAAAGCACTTGGTCTCTTTAAGCATTCACTCACTCTTATTAGAAGTTTCAGTACTTCTGTTCCTTCAACAACTGCTGCAGCAACAGGTGCATCAAAAAAATTGAAACGCAGGAAGAAGAAAAACCTCTTCGAAGTAGCTCAGTTTCTTCCTAATTGGGGAATTGGGTATCAGATGGCAAAGACTCATTGGACTGGAGTATCTTATCAGATCACCAAGATCAATCTTTATAAGGTTTATCTTTCTGGGCCTTTTCAGTTGAATTTATATTTCTTTTTGTAGATTGTTTATCTTATTAGGTTTGTTGATTTCCTTGTAGGATGGTAGACATGGTAAGGCATGGGGAATTGTCCACAAAAATGGTGAGCTCTTGCATCCCTCAGCATTTCCCCTTTTTCTTTGTAGCTATAAAATAGCTTTTCTAAGGCTTAAAAAGAGCTTGTTTTACCTCCAAAGGACCATTAGGCATGGATATCTTGTTATATAAAGTATTGTTTTTAGGATGAAACAGTGAGGATGACTTGACCACTTACAACTATGCAAAGGATATGGCTGCTGATAGTGTGGAATGGCAGGAAAAAAAAAGATTATTGTAACCAACCCAAATAGGTGGGCTATGTCTTTATTGAGTCTTTTGTGTGGGTTTGTGTGTGTGTGTGGGTGNGGGGGGGGGCTAAATCAAATTCAAGTAATCCCATGGCTTTTCTGTGGTGGGTCATCTTCACCTTTCTGATGTTTTGTACAACCTCTTGGTTGAGGTCTGACATTCCCACAAAATTTGAATTTGGGCTGTTAGACCTTGGGTTAATAAAAGCAGAAAAGTAAATAAGATCTATAAAGCTCAGGTTGGGACACCATCATGAGGACTTCCTTGGAGGTTACTCATCGTTGTGCTCCATTAGCCCATTTATTTTGACTGTGGAGTCCTAAGGACATCTGTAGACATCCCAATGAACTTCAAGGTTTTCTCAAAGGCCATATTTAATGTTTTACATATGTTAGTTATTTTGGTGGTTTAGCAGTTGGGAGACCACAAAATCTTAGTAGCTTCCTTTGTGACTAAAAGTGTGGATTGTGACTACTAATCAAGGCAGAAGTATATTTTACAGCTTCCAGTTGGACCAACGGACCCAACAATGAGCCTGGATTGAGTGTACTCAAAGTGTCAAGTGTGGCAACTAAGTTCCTTAGCATCTGTCATCAAAATTGGTGACACCTAATCAAGTGGGAAACTGTAGGTAAAATGAATAAAGCTGGTGGATTAGGGTTAGGCACTGAATTTTCATTGTGTAGATAAAACTTGCCAAGCAATGAAAAGAGAAATCCCACCATGAATTGCTCATTCATGGTCCATTTTGATTAGGACATTGATCAGAGAGGCTAAGCAACTAATGACCAACGTGAACTGCTTATTCAAGTGGGTCCTTAGAGCTGCTAATAGTCTGGCAGATGCCCTAGCTTGAGCTGGGGCAGCTAGAGATGGTTTGGTGTGGTGCTACCTGGTCCAGGGAGAGAAATGTAACTCTGTTGGTGGAATCTTTATAGCTACTTTGGATGTACCTCCTGCCCTCAAGCTGTCCCGATTGAAAGGAAGAAGCATCAATTTCAATTGCAAGGACATGGGCTCATGATACTTTTGACAGTATTTGAGTTGAATTGGGCCTCATGAGCTCCTCAAAGAATCAAGCTGGATCTTGACGGGAGTTCTTATGGTAATCCAGGACCTTCTGGTATTGGAGGGATGGGGAGTAGGCGGAGAGCTTCTAGAGATGGTAATGGAAGTGTTGGCATTATACTCTAGGCAAATAGGGGAGTGTGACTCTTTGAGGGTAGAAATTTTAGCCATCCTTCTATGGTTGAGGCTAGCAAAGCAACTGGGCTTCTGGCAAATTGAGGTGGTAGGGGACTCCAGTCCAAACTGGTAGTAGAATGGATAACAAAGAAACAATTTGGGGCTTTGGACCCATAGACAAGCCATGAAGGAGGTGAGATGTTTATTAAGGGAGATTGGGGTGAACTTGAGATGGACTAGAAGATCTGGAAATGGTTTAACTGACACTTTAGCCAAACAAAGGATTAATAGGGTGCAATTATTTTGGGTGGCACTGTAATAGTATCTTCTTTTTATTGGGGTCATCACTCCCTTTGTCGTAGGATGCTTGGCATACTGTACTCACCTTTAATTATTGAATACAAATTACTGTTTCCAATAAAAAAATGTTATAGTTTAGTCTCCTGAAGAAGCAGATTTTCAGTTGCCACTTCTTTAGGTTCTTAAGCTTAATTTAACAGTAAAGAAGAAAAGGAGAGAAGATGTTGAGAAAATGTTTGAGAGAATTGAAATTAGTTTATAAGATGACTAATACCGAGTGTAGATAGACCCGACTACCTTCATACACATAACACATCTGTACAAAATAAAATTAACTGAAAAGACAAAAAAAACACCCCTCACTAAATGCCTGTAACTTCTAACAAGGTAGCCACTGCATTTCTTCTTCAGGCCTCAAGCCTCTAATATTCCAGGAGGTTATTTTTGAACTTATTATTTCTGATTGATTAATTAAATTCTATCTCTTTTTCTGTTCCCACCAATTAGACCTGAACCATTGGTTGGACCTTGAACTACCTGACTAGTTTACTCATCCTCATGTTTTACATGTTTATGTATTTATTTATAGGCCCACAGTGATGTTTAGATAAAACATAGCTTCAATCCTATTTATACATATTTTCCACATATAGCTCAGTTGTTCTCTCCAAGTGGTTCAATTTCTTTTGTCATGTTTTTTCCTTGGGTGTTAAACTAGAGTACCCTTGTTGCATAGGGATTGGCTTTCCTCATTCCAGTGTATGCTTATTTTAGTGATCTGACTGTCGTGATATGCCTAATTTAATGTTCCTCTCAAAGTAACACTTATCATTTGAGATTCTAATGCAGGCATCCCAGCTGCGGACGCTCCAAAGAAAATAAGTGGGGTTCACAAGCGCTGTTGGAGGTACATTCCAGAATCAAAGAAATCAATAGAAAGCCGTCCAGAACCAGAAGCTCAAGTAGCTTAACGTCCCATACTTGATGTTCTGATGGAATGGGTTGTCTTTATTGCGTGGGTTTAATTGTTAAATATGGTGGTGGATGGTGATCAGTTTGAATCAGTGTGGTCAACGGGGTTAAGACTAAAGACTTGCCCACATCTGATCGAATTTTGTAATGATTATTTCTAAGTTCAGAACTAAGCATGTAGGCTTGCAGATTGTGTTGTCTAAATAGGGTGATCAGAAGTGTGGAATTTATTCCTAACATTTCTCGTGCACATACCTTGCAAGAGCAGATTTTTTATTGGTAATAAATTAACAACTAACTTTCAGGTCGCAAGAGCAGATTTAATCCGATCTTTTTTCTTTGTGTCTTTCACCCCACCTGGAGGGAAAAAAGAAAAAAAAAACAAATAGAAAGGAAAAAGTTCACAGATCTTTGGGCATAACAGCATCCCTTGGGCCATGTTTAGTTTGGTAGAAAAATGGAAAATAAGAGAGAAACAGAGTTCAGAAGTTCTTAACAAAATTTATGGAATTCAAGAACTTTACTAAACTTTTTACAACTCTCTATTTCTATTTTTTTATCAAACCAAACATAACCTTGGTGATCTACTTTTGCCTCAAAATGTGAACCCTGAATGTTTTTTGCCAGGATAAGCTAGACCAGGGCATCAGTGCATCATATATCGAGCTTGCATTTTAGGCATTATATCAACTGAATTTTTATTAAGACTATTCGTGCTATTTCACTGGGGATCACATGCCAGACGGTTGCACAAAATCAAAATGTTCTCCGCCCATGTATCTACCAATTTCTAGGGCCCGTTAGTCTTGTGCACCATATCCCTGACAAATGACAATTTTTTCTTTCCAAATTGAATTGAGTGTTGGTTCGTTTGTTTTGTCTGGGACCTGGATTTCTATGACAGGTTATTCATGATTCAGTGGTTTGTCCCATGGTTTTCAAAACCGGACTGGACGGTCAGATCAAAAAAACCGGTAACTGTTCAGCCCCCTGGGTTCAGTTATACTGTAAACTGTTATTTATCAAAAAAATTAAAAAAAGTCAAAAAACCTCTAAGCCGGGCGGTCGAATTGTTAAACTGTTGAAAAAGTCAAAAAATCACTGACTCGGGCAGCAGTTTGCGGGTAGAAAAATTCATTTTCGCTCATTTAAAAAAATGCCATTCATGTCCCTAGTCCCCCCGATTCCAGCCTGGATTAGAACAAAAATGAACTCACCCTCGCTACTACTCGCTGAATCCCTGCATCATCCCTGTTCGGCATCACATAAAGTCCCCGTCTACGAACGTCATCTCTATTCCTATTTGCTTCGTGTCGGAGGAGAAACGACCGGCTGCTGCTTTGAAGATTCAGAGCTGTTTATGGGGATTCGTGGTTAGAAAGAGTGTGAAGAAAATTGTTAAGATTAAGAAAGAGGTAGATGAATTTGAACAGCGGATTTTTAGGAGGGAGATGGTGGATTTGGTTCGTACGGATGTGAAGGAGCGGTTGAGAGAGAATGAAACTCTAGTGGCTTTGCTTTTTCGTTGGATTCAGTTTGAGGCATTGATTCTGAGGTTAGGGAGTATTGGAAGAAGGTTATCAAGAAGGCTATCGCCTTGCAGGAGAAGGTGGATCAATATAAACAAGTCCCCCTTCCTCCCTCTGTTTGTCTCCTTCTCGCCGCTTTTCTTATCCATCCTGCCCTGCACCGCTTACAGGTGATCAGATTCTAGGAGGGGACGACGGCATCAATTGTTCTTCAGGTACATTCGAAACTTTTGCTGGCAATGGTGATCGATCCTTGGACCTTAGAGAATCAACCGATTCTTTTGACCGATGTGAAGCCCCTATTTCTCAATTATTTTTCATTTGTAGATTTTCATTTATAAATATATATATTATTTTTAATTTATTTATGATGTCATGGGTTGAACTATTCGACCCGGATGGTTTGAAGACTATATAAAGAGTAGCTAGGGCAAAGATAGGGGAGTTTTTGGTTGATTTTCTCTTAAGTATTCAGCGAAGAGTTGTTTTTCTTGTTTATTTCGACTTTGGCTTTTTTCATTGAAGTTTCTTTGAACGTAGTTTGTTTTTCTGAACTGCACCATTTGGTACCAGAGATTAAATTTGATCTTTCTTTGGATTATGGTTCATAAAAAGACACAAGTGGCTCACATCATGGAGCAGAAATTTAACAACAAAACACAAAAAGAGGTGATAGAGTTGAGAAGACAAGTCGATATGCACTTGTTCAAGAATTGAGATCGCTATATTCTCATTTCAAAACGGGGGACAACGGTTCCAATGCAAGTGCCTCCACTTGTTTCTTTTTACCATCATGGCAAGTAACTAGATTGGGTGTAGTTGCGGATGGTGACTAGAAATAGTGGGAAACGGGTTTCAATATTGAGATCGCAGAGTTTCATAGAGGTTTTTCTACTAGAAAAGCAACCAAACTGGTTGTAGTTGCGGGTGGTGAATAGAAGTGATGGGAAATAGATATCAAGTTTGAATTCCTGGAGTTCCATGGATGAATTATCAATTTCAGAGTCTAAAGGTAAAATCAAATCTTATGACTTATTTTTATTGCTTTAATATTGTCGAGGATTGTAACAAAAATCTTGCGTGGCCATTCTCCTCAACAATATCTATTGAAGAGGAACTTGTTGATTGTAACAAACCTCTAGTCTATGATGAAGAACCCATTGTTTAGGAGGAATATGTCATCATTCATAATATTTTTCAAGAGGATGGAGACAACATTTATCATATTAGAGGCTTTGATAGCATCATCTTCATACAAGTCTACGAGGATCCATATTGGCAAGCATTTTTGCAAAGTTCAGAATGGTTAGTGAATGGAGAATTAAATTATTTGAAGATCGAGAAATGTGTTTCAAAAGTTAAGAGATGTAATGAAGACATTCCAATTCGTATTGGAGCTTTACACCACTAGTTATTTATTAGAAAGTTGGAAACAGAGAAGCACAACACGATATGTTGGAGGACTTTCACATGGTAGCATGAATCTGAGGTCGGATTCTCTCCATCTCAGAGAGGATGATGTAGTACAGGATTTGGAAAAACTGAGTAAACATTTACTAAATTGGTTTTCGAAGCCCCATCTTAGTTTGTACTTACCAAAATAGTATTATCATGGAATTTCTATCTTAGTTTGTAATTACCAAGTTAACGTTACAGCGAGATTTCCAAATTTATATTCAATTAAGACTTTCTTGTTTTAAGAGATTTAGGCCACGTTTGGGAGTGCTTAAAAATAAGTGCTTATTGGACCAATACCACACCATTAAGTGCTTATTGGTTTTTGGGGCAGTGCTTATTTTAAAAATACGGGCTTATTTTTTAAGCCCAAATTTTTAGCTTTTTTTTAAGTGCTTATACAATAAGCACTTATTCAAAATTTTTCTTTCAACATTATCCCAAGTTGAATTTTAAAATACCACTTATAAAATTATCCCTAGTTGACTTTTATAAAAGTACTTTCATAAAGTGCATTTATAAAAGTACTCCCGTAAAAGTGCTTTTATTAAAATTCTTTCATAAAAGTGCTTTTGCAAGTACTTTTATAAAATTGCTTTTGTACTTTCATAAAAGTTCTATCGTTAAAGTGCTTTCATAAAAGTACTTTCATAAAAGTGCTTTTATAAAAGTGTTTTTGTAGAAGTTCTATTATTAAAGTGCTTTCATAAAAGTACTTTTCATAAAATTATTTTTATAAATTATATTTATAAAAGTGCTTTCATAAAAGTTCTTTCATAAAAGTGTTTTTATAAAAGTAATTTAATAAAAGTACTTTCATAAGGATATATTTTGAAAATTTGAAAGCAAATGAAGGACAAAATAGTCACAAATGCTTATTTAAGTGCTTATTGGAGAAAAAGACTACCAAATGCCCAATATGAGACAAATGCTTATTTTTTAAAATAAGCATTTGAAAAGTTGGGTGCCAAATACAAATTAGTGCTTATTGGAATAAACACTTACGCTCTGGCCTGAGCTCAAGCTTGGCTTGACCATCGGGCCTAGGTCTTGAGCTCGAGCCCGACACAAAATTTGAAAAAAAGATGTTTTCCTTTTTTATTCAATTAAAAACTATTTGATTTATATTAAAAGACCTTAAAACCTAAATAAATAATGAAAGATCTCAATATTACTTGAAAAAAGAGAAGAAAAATAAAGAAAAAAATATTATATATATTTTTTGAGAAAGCTCAAGCCTGGTATGAAAAATGGTTAGGCCTGATATTTTAGGCCTAAGCCCAAGCTCGTGGGCCTGAAATCCTATCCAAGCCCGACTTAAATCGAGCTGGGCCGAGCCGACCTACCGGGCTACCTGGTCCATAAATAGGTCTAATGGTGTAAAGAAGTATATATAAAGAGTAGATAGGGCAAGTAGAGAAAAGAAGGAAAATGTAGGAAAACTTTTACAGTTCTTGTATAGGTTTCCTTACATTTCTCTTCCTTTCCCTACATTTTCCTTCAAACCAAACATAATACAAACAAACTAAGCAACTACCAAACCAACACCAATTACGGAGGAGTGGAGCATCCATTATCAAAATCTCCGCCACTGTAAACAAGAAGACCTTCCAGCCAAATAGGTGGATGCCTCCAAAGATACTGGATCTAATCCCAAGGGTCCCAACAGTCAATGCAGCTATAAGGTTGTTGGGACCTGATCTAAACTCGTCTGCAAGTAAATACTTGTACATCATGAGATGCAAGTTAACGGGCAACCTTATTGCTCTCTCATCAACAAACTGAAAAATAGAATCATCCCCAACTAATTTGAAGATGCCATTCAAGATTGGCCATTGGCATCTATCACAGCTTCAAAAGATAACTTTGAAGATAGTTGTCTTGGAGTCGCTCTTAATGGCTAGATTTTCGAAACCACATTCTCTACCCTAAATACAACATTCTCTGATAGCATACAATAAAAGAAGCTTTACAGCTACCCATTCTACCAAGAAAAAAGAACCCATATATTATTTCTAAACAAAAAACCGAATCCACCAATGCCAGTCTTTAAGAAACTACCATTACCATTCACATTTGCTTTAACAACACCCAAACTAGGATTTTCCCACAAAACCTTTTATGATTTTTGACTGTTATTGCACCATGAATCTGCTGATTTTTGTTGGAAAGCTTTCTTCACTGTCAACATCATCCTATCAACCATGAAAATAGTTAAGCATGGGTTAGGCATTTTTTGATTAAACCCAAAATCATTTCTGATTTTCCAAATATACTAAGTCAAAACAACAATGTGACGTAACATGGGATCACACATGTCTTTAGCAG